TCGCTTTGTTAATGAATTTAAAAAACAAAATAGAACAATATACAACCCAGAACACGGAATAGATTTACGGCTTATAGAAACTGAAGCACCAGAAAATGCAAGCCAATCAAATGCAAGCCTTGACCTTGGCTCTGTAGTATGCACACTAGAGGTTGAGGATAGAACGTTCGCAAACTTAAAAAGGATATTTAAAATCACTAAAGAAAGCGTGGGTAGAGAAGCTCTCTCTCGTCTTGTTTCGGCAATGGACTATGTGCACAACAATTTAGACATTTTAAAAAAATTCTTGCCAGAAGAAGAATACTACACTCTGGATGAGCTGTACACCAACAAATACGAAGGCACTAACATGGCACTGGTAGACTATGGGATAAAAATTATCATAGAGCGATATTCTAAGATTGAAGAGCTGGTTACAGAAATTAGAATTAAAAGACTTTCTAATAGTGATCCAGTGACACTTAGAAAGATTAGTGAATTATTTACCCGGGATGAGTTAAAAATACTCATTTCTATCGGGGGCAATCCGAATCTAAGAAGAATTAAAAGCGAAAAGAATATACAAAAAAATATACTTGATGCAGCAGAATACATGAAGAACAATCCCAATCTCTTTAAGGAGCTAGACACTCTACGGATAAACACAGATTTAAGTAACTTTTATGAAGAATATATAGTTAAAACAGGCTTCAAAAACATGGTAGACAGAAATAGAGCATTGCTGGATAGAGAAATAGAGGAAAAGAAAAAAGCTGTAGAAGAAAAGAAAAGCATGATAAATCGTGGCCAAGTAAGAGAAGAAGAGAAGGAAAATGCAATTCGTTTTATCAGTGAAACAGAAAGAAATATACATTCACTGGAGTATGATCAAAGGAATGAATATCTAAATTCCTTTAACCCTATTGAAAATATAAAGTTCGCATCTAGCTTAAGCCCAGTCCAGAAAACATACATACTTAAAAAGATGGAAGAAGAGTTTGAAAAAACAAAAAACATAAAAATAGTAAGAGTTGAGGTGCCTGATGAAAAGAAAGCGTCTGAGGAAAGAAAAGCTTTTAGAGAAAATATAGCCCGAGCAGACATGAGTAAGATTGACACATCAGCTATGAAAGAAGTTAAGTTGAAGATAGATGTAAAGGGGATAATAGAAGCCTCCCAATCTAGCGAAATTAAAGATATTGTAAAAACTGTTGGCATAACTGGTATTGAATTATGCCGCTTCCTTATAATACAACAAATATTTGATAAGAACATCGAAATAGAAGGACCCTACAGCGATGAAGAAAAACAGAAAATTTTGAACACATTTAAGAATAACATCTGTAGGTACTTTATGCACTTTGATGATCAAAATGAAAGCGGTGCTATGTATAGCTTTTATAATGCATTGAAGGGTAAGAATAGCGATGAATTCATCGGAAAAAAATGTGCTGCTATAATCAATAATGTTATAGGGTTGAATATATTCATATACAATCCAGAGCACGGAATATATAAGCAGTCCGACAAGAATGAAGCACCCGAGAATGTCCTTCGAGAGGATCAAAGCATTGATCTAAGCCCTAGAACATGCACGATAAAGATTGATGATGCAAAGTTCTCGAACATAGAAAACCTACGTTGGTTTACTTTAGGTAACCTAGGTAGGGAACATCTTTGCCGTAGGAATAATTTATACAGCATAGATGACATGGATATTTTCAAAAAATATGCAACAGACAAAACATACTACACTCTGGATGAGCTGTACACTAAGAGATGCAAAGGTACTGACATACCATTGATAGACTATGGACTAAACCTTATTTTTGAACAATGCTATAATATAAGTGTCTTAATTAAGGAAGCTAAAGAAGCAAAAGCCAGCTCTGACAATAGTGCACATAACAAAATTGAAAAAGAAATTAAAAAAATATTTACTAAACAAGAAGACTTGAATATAGCTGTTTCTATCTACAATAATATCGGGCCCATTATAGATGAAAAAGATATACATAGTGGTATGGTTAAAGTATTAGAGTACATACTAAATCTCAAGAATTTCTTGGAAGAGAAGAATGGGACAAAAATATTGAAGATAAATGCAGATTTGAGTAATTTTTGTGAAGACTATATAGTCAAAACAGAATTGGAGAAGATAATAAATGATGAAAAACGCAGTATAAAAAGAAAAAAGAGTGCAAACTCTGAATCTTTCGAAATAAAGAATAAAGAACTTAGTGCAAAAGAAGCAGAGCTAGAAGAATGGAAAAAAACAGCTGATCCAAACTCACAGGACTACAAAAAAATAGAAAAAGAAAAAATGGAAGAGATAAAACACGTAAAGCATGACATCAATTGTCTAGCTA